CAGCAGCCCCTTCCCCTGCCCCTGCCCCAGCCTTGCTCCGTGCCCGACGACAGAGGGGAATGCAGTGTAAATGTCTCGCAACGTAAATAAGGACAATCCAGCGCTTTCAAAGTTTAAAATAGTATATATATGTTTTATTCTTGCGGAATATTGAGTGCAAGGCAGTTTAATCTACAAGTATCCCAGAGAAACCCTCGTGTGGTGCCTTCCTCTTCGGAAACCCTCCGTCCTCGTTTTTTGTGGGTTCCTCTCCCTCCCCCCACCCCCCCCAGTTATTTTATTCCGGGCAACTGAGATTTTCGTTGTTGCAGAGGGTTTTCTACCCCATTCACGCTCTCCCTTTTCCCGTGCCCAGCTGGTGAAGCCAGGCCGCGCGATGCCCTTCGGATGGGCTGGGGAGACGTGTCCTTGCGCTACCCGTGCCCAGGAGCCTTCCCCTTCCTCTCGCCACGGCCCTCTCCCTGCTCCTGTGCTCACAGCCAGGTGGAAAGCCGCTGGCTGCGCCCAGGGGCCGCGTTCTGGCATGGGACACCTCCCTGCATTATCCCATTAAACTTGGGTAATTTAGCTCAGTTTTCCTCTCAAAGGCAGGAATACAGGGATTACCAAGCGAACGGCGGCGTCTCCCACCGGAGCTGTGTGTCCTGCTGCGGTCGGGCTCCTCGCAGGGAGCCCCGCGCTGCAGCGGAGCTCAGCTGCTGGGCTCAGCACGCGGCTACTGCAGGGTGTTTACCAGCACGAGGCTGCAGGATGCGATTTGCTTCGAAGCGTCTGTGCAGCCTCCGCAGGGCTGCGGCGCCGGGCTCCGTCCCCGCGCGCGGCGGCATCACGGGAACACGCGGGCGCTCCTGGGGGCGCCGGGGAGATCTGCGGAGAGGGCGGCAGGAGAAGGGTGATGAGCCGCAGCCGCGGCCCTGCCCTGCCGCGGGACTCGCGGAACATGCAAGAGGCGCAGGGCGGCCCTGCCCCATCCCGCACGGATCCCGCATGATCCCAGCTGCTCCTCTCTGCACCCGCGTGCTGCCTCCGGCAGGGAGCCAGTGCTTTCCTGCTCTCACTCCTCCCAGCCGTCTTTCTGAAGCGGCTCGAAGCCTTCCTGACTGTCTCGGATGACAGGAGGGGTTACGGGAATTCCCTGCAGTCACTGGATATTTTTAGTCCTGCCATACAGGGACAGGGGGAAGAACAGCCACGGCTCAGCCAGAGGCAGAGCCAGCAGTGGGGCGGTGGGAAAGCAAAATGCGTCTTTCTGAGGGTGGTGGCAGCAACAAGTGAGCGAGGGAGGACGTGGCTGCCTGCTCGGCAGGACGAGGTGCCCGAAGGGCTGCGATACCTGGTGCGTTTTGGCCCTGGTTTTCACAGGTTTCCACTTTGAGCAGAGCGGATGGGGTAAAAGACACGGGCTCCGTCGGCTGCAGCAGGGACAAGGGCTGAGGCTCCGGCTCCCGCTTCACCTCCGCCTGCGGGGAGGAATCGCAGCGCTCGGTTAGGTGCTCGCAGCGCCGGCAGCGCGAGGAGAGCCCAGAGCCGCCCCTGCTCCCGGTGCTCCCGGCAGTCCCAGGAGCTGCCCTTTAGCTGGATGCTTTTACAGCGGCTCTGCCAGCAAGCCGGGGATTTACTTAGGCTGGGCAACTACAGCAATTATGCAAAGAGCTCCCTTTAAAAGCCAAGTTGATCGGCTCCCGCGTGGATCAACACCCCTCCGGCCGGCCGGGTGCTCAGCGAGGTGTCTCCTCGAGGCTGCTCCGGAGTTTGCAGCCTCCTTTCCCAAAGCAGCCGTCAGCCTGTCCTGCACAAGGCCATGGCCCGGAGCACACACGTGGCTTCATTGCCAGAACTCAGGCCGATAAAGCACCTTGCTTAGGCAGAGATGTTGCGAGGAAGCACCAATGCATTCATTCCATCAAAGCACTCCAGAATTGGCCAGTTTCACTGCACCAAGCAGCTACACAGTGTCCTTTGCTTAAGTGCATCTTTCTTGGCTGTGCTAAGCAGCCAAGGGGACACCCAGCTCAAAGAGTGGCTGAGGATGGAAGGGGCCTCTAGAGATCGTCTAGTGCAACTCATGAGCCCGCTCCATCCTGCTGCACGTCCAGCCCCACTGGCTGCGCTTTGGGGCGGATAAAGCAGCGTGTCCTGCGAAGGACCCGCTGGCAGGTCCGTGCAGGGCGGCCGCGCGGGAGCGGTGCTGGAACGGGGAGCGCACGAAGGACCCGCTGGCAGGTCCGTGCAGGGCGGCCGCGCGGGAGCGGTGCTGGAACGGGGAGCGCACGAAGGACCCGCTGGCAGGTCCGTGCAGGGCGGCCGCGCGGGAGCGGTGCTGGAACGGGGAGCACACGAACCCCTGCGGAGGGGCGTCTGCAGCACGGGCCACGTTCAGAGCAGGTCGTACCTTGGGGAAGGCCGAGGCGCTGCGTGTGCTCGTGCCCGGGGCGTCCCCCGGCGTGGCGCTCCGGCCCCAGAGCTCCAGGCTGCCGGGAATCTGCTGCCTGAATCACAAGGAGAAGAGTGTCACCAAGAAGAGCCGTTTCACTGGTGCAGAAGCAAAAGAGTGCTGACGTTGTCCTCAACTGCAGAGCCCCTGGATGCCCAGAGCGCGGGGCCCAGAACTGCTCGTAACCAACAAGGCAGCAAGTGACGACGGCTGCACTACATAAAGGGCTGGAATGGTGAGCCGAAGTGTTTGTGATATGTTTCAACTGCAGCGGCCTCCTTCCTGACGGGAAAAGGCTAGAGAAAACGGCACACTGCAACATGCAGACTGTCAGTTTAGTCTGACAGTTTAGAACAATTAGTAAAATTAATGATAATTAACAGAGCTACGCTGGAAAAGGTCCTGGCAACGCTCCTGCAGCTGCCTTGCAAGAGGAGGCTGTGACTGAGCAGGGCTGTCCTCAAAGGAGCCATAGCCTCTGCCCTCCCAACAACCAGGGCTCCCGCTGAAAT